AGATTGAGGATCAGCCATGTTTTTATTAAACGGCAGTGCAAGCTTAACAGAATCACCTGAGCTCCTGCTCCTATTTATTTTGTTTTTATGAAGATAATCAACAATAATTTGCATAGCATCTTCAGTGTGATAAAACATTGCAAAATTATTCACAGAAGTTTCTTAAAGTAAAATTCGAGACCAAGTCACAAGGCAATCTTAGGAGAGATGATGAAAATTTTGGTCAAAAGAGATAGGCTTTAAAGAATGTGTTAAGATGAGGTTAGAGAATTGCAGAGGCTTAGGGAAGGCACTTTCCATGCTTAAGTTTTGGCAGCTAAAGGGTATTGCTGCCAAAGGTAAAGCAGTTAAAATTAGTGATGCTCAAAGGTCAGAATCTGATGAGCACAGATTGTTTGAGCACAGTGCAGGTGAGGGATTTGGAATCCTGGATGAGGATTGTAAAATTTTAGGAATACTTAATCAGGACCCAATGTAATAAGTGATCGTTAAATGACACTCAGTGTGGACAAAGATAACGGCAAGAGAGTTTTAGATTACCCTGAGGTTATTGAGGCCAGTCAGGAATACAGTAGAATATTCAAAACAATTTAAACAAGTTCTACAAAACAACAGTAACTTGGATACATGTCAGCCAATATCCACCTGCCTTTTGCACATTGATGTCAGCCACAGTTAGGTTCTCATTGACTGCAAGAGTTAAGGGAGTTCAATCTATATTTCAATCATGAAGTACACTCCAGAAAGCACTTTGGGCCATCCGTCAATTTCTCCCAAAAAGCAGAGGCCTGCACTGATCATTGAAAGACGTGAGTTCAAAACCCTGCGCAGCAGCCAGGTAACTTCAACTCCTTTTATTAAATAAATTAGAATTGCAAAGAAATAGTATCTGGAATGTAACTACTGGATTGTCAAACATGTCCATCACTAATGTCATTTAAAGGAAGGTAAACTGCTTTTCTTATTTAACCCAGCCTATGTGTGATTCCAGAACTAGAGCAATATGAGTAACTGTTCGCTACCTTTTAGAATGGCTCAGCAAGTCACTGAGATTTGCAATATATGCCAGCAGTAGCCACTGTAGTGATTGGACCAATGTCAGCCAAACGGATCTCATTGAATATGAGTTCCCAGGTTAGATTTGTTAACCTGGCCCAATCAGGGAGTACCGGCTGACAGATATAAATAAGAGTGTCAGGGTTCTGCTCCATTTAGGAGCTGGCTGTGTTCTAGCTGGGTCAGTGTCAAGTACAATGCACGAGTAAATAAAGGGTGACTTGGTGACGGGATACCAGCCTTTGTGGCGTTATTTCAGCCACATCCTGTGAATTAATGAAACTAAGTTGGCAAGATTGAGCACTAAAATTCACAGCACTCTTGAGTTAGTGAGATGAGAATCCTCCAGGGTTCCAACACTTAACATTTCTGAATAGCCTCTGAACAAAGTCTGTGAAAGGCATGCTCTACGTACAAGTCTTTCTTCCTTTTTACAGAACTGTCAACTTGTACAAGCTTCAGTTGCCCTCTTTCATAAAAACACTGAATGAACTTCTACGTTTATGCACGCCCCGATCTGTAAAGAGTGGCCTATTTACATTCACCAAATCTAATCTTATTACCTAGCTTTCTGCTTGTTATGCAGTTTTTAACTTCCAACAGTTTTTTCTCTTGGTGTTTTGCCTGCAAAGCAATGATGACATGTCCAAATATTTTGTTTGTTAAAAAGTGCTTAGAGAAATTCAAATGGTTTTATTGAATTGCAAGTTCTTTCCTCATTCTTTTCTAAAAATATTGCTTCCCAGGATACATCTCCTTGCTCAGTGCTCATGCTCATGTAAGCAGTAGGATTAGCCATGTGAAATTCAGGCTTACAGGGTAAGAGGATGCGTCTAGGTGGGAATGCTGTTCAAGGGTCAGTGTGGACTCGATGGGCTGAATGGCCTGCTTCCTACACTGTAGGGATTCTATGATTCAAGAGGCTTGACGTCCAAACTCAATCCTGCTCACCACCTGCATGCAGATATTTCTCCAGGGGCTGTTCTGAAGTTGTAAGGATTGGTACCCCTGAAAGACTTTCCTCTCACTACCTTCAGGGTGTTATGAATTTTAGTGCCCATTCTGCCAGCATTTTTAATTCATTCAAAGGATGTGGCCATTGGTTGCACTTATTGCATACATCTAGTTGTGTCTGAGAGGCAATCATGACTTATCTTTCCTAACTGCTTCAAACACTGCACTCTGTTACGACTGAGTGACTTGCTCTTCCATTGCAGAAGATAGCTATAAGTTACCCACATTGCTCTGCATCTGGAGTCACGTATAGACCAGACTAAGTAAGGATGGCTGTTTATCTTCCTCCACTAAGGATGGATTTGTATGACAATTCAGTAGTTTCATGGTCACATTCCTAATACTGTATTTTTTTCAAACTTGCCATGCTGGGATTTGACACCACATGTCTGAATTATCAGTCCTGGCATCTGGATCATTGATCTCGTAACATATGAAGAAAGATTAAATCAGATAGAACTATATTCACTAGAGGTTAGAAGATGCGGTGGCTAGTGAGAGGTGCATCTCGTCGACCCCTCAAATTCTAACAGGACTGGGCAGAGTAAATGCAGGAAGAATTTTTTTTTTAATCTTTATTAATTTATGGGATGAGGGTGTCGCTGGCTAGGCAGCTTTTATTGCTCATCCCCATTTGCCCAGAGGTCAGTTCAGAGTCAACCACATTGCTGATGGTCTGGAGTCATATGTAGGCCAGACCAGCTAAGGATGACAGTTTCCTTCCCTAAAGGGCATTCGTGAATCAGATGGGTTTTTCCCAACAATCGATAATGGATTCATGGTCATCATTCGGTCCTTAATTCCAGATATTTATTGAATTCAAATTCCATCATCTGCCGTGGTGGGATTCGAACCTGGGTCTCTGGAACATTATCTGGGTTTCTGGATTAACAGTCCAGAGTTTCTGAGTCTCCAATGACTAGAGACTCAGAATCAGGACTGACCATCTAAAGGTATAGGGGAGGCCATTTAGGACCGGAAGGGGAGAAAAATTCTTCACCCATACATTGGTGAGCCTGTGGAAATCTCGCTGCAGAAAGCAGTTTAGGCCACAACAGTGAATATTTTCAAGAAGGAGTTGGACAGAGTTCCTTTGGCAAAAGGAAGCAAAGAGTATGGGGGTGGGGGAGTGAGAACTGGGTTCTGAGTTGCATGATTAGCCATGATTATATTGAATGAAGAAGCAGCCTCAAAGGGCTGAATGGCCTCATTCTGATCCTATTGTCTATGTTTTTGATTTTTTTCTCCATCTACTGTGCTTTTTGGGGGGAGATAATGGTATAAGGGCAATATTACTAGTTATTCAAAGGCCCAAGGTAACATTCTAGAGATTGCAAGAACTGCAGATGCTGGAGTCCGAGACAACACAGTGTGGAGCTGGAGGAACACAGCAGGCCAGGCAGCATCAGAGGAGCAGGAAAGTTGACATTTCAGGTCAGGACCCTTCTTCAGAAATAGGGAAGGGTCCTGACCCAAAACATCAATTTTCCTGCTCCTCTGATGCTGCCTGGCCTGCTGAGTTCCTCCAGCTGTACACACATTCTAGAGACATAGGTTCAAATCCCACCATGACAGCTCATAAAATTTAAATTTTGTTAATAAATCTGGAATCTAAAGCCAGTTTAAGTAATGAAGAGCATTAAGCTATCATCAGTTGTTGTATAAATCAATCTGATTTACTAATGACCTTTAGGGAAGGAACTCTGTCATCGTTATTTGGATTGACCTACGTGTGACTCCAAAGCCACAATAATTTGGTTGGCTCTTAACTGCCCTGTGAAAATGCTGAGCAAATCAATCACTCCAAGAGCAATTAGAGATATGCAGAAAATGCTAGCCATGCCAGAGATGCCCACATCCAACAAAAAAAACCCAGAAAAAGTTGCTACCTGAATGAGATCACACATTGCAGTGAAGATCAGAGCTGAAATTCAATCGTTATACTTCCATTCAGTTGCTAGTTATCTGTAAGATTGATTTTGATTTGGGAGATAGAGAATGTTCTCTTTCAGCAAGAATAAATATTCTTCTCCATAATTTGCAAAGCTGTGTATCTCACAGAGGTCGAACAGAGATTTGAATAAAAGTAGGCCGTTCAGACCCTTGAGCTTATTTTGATACTTAATTTGATCTCTACCTTAAATCCATTTGCTTGCCTTTGTGCAATATCCCTTGATGTCACTATCTCACAAAAACATTTCTCTCTCAGTTTTAATTTCAGTTGACTCAGCCTTCACAGACTTTAGCGGGAGTGAGTTCCATTGGCTCCTGCACAAATCGGTGACTGCTGATTTCACTTCTAAATTGTCGAGAACATTTACTTCTGCTCGTTAACTGATCTTTCCATCGACAATTATGATTTGCCCTTGTAACAATTAAGTACTTTGTGAAATATTCCAGAACTTTTACTTCTTGTGTCTTGTTTCAGGTTTATCAAGCAATGCTTCCTGGTTTATGGCCCTCTCTACTTTCTTCTCCTTTCTGCGTTTGTTTCTCCTTGTCCTGCAATTGTGATTTAACTGGTAAAACTGTGGCAGATTAACTATCCCTGTTCCATTTAGCATCTTCGTTTCTTACAAGTTTAATAGTGCCATAAATTATGGAGAAAGAAATTGATTCTGGTTTTGTGCAACATTCCCTCTGGCAATCAAATGCAGAATTCTCCAAGAGAATGTTTGACTCTGCAACTGAAACTAGTAAATTTCATGCACAAGTGAACTGCACAAGTAAACCCAAATAAAAAGTAAGTTCCAGTTCCCCTGCTTCTTTCCTCCCTGGCTGTAAACCCCTTCCCAACCTGATGACTTTCTTTATTTACTTAAGACATTGGTCAGTCACTTGTTCAGTGATCAGTAGATTCTGAAATAAATTATGTGAATTGTAAAGTAAGCCTCTCTGTATTGCTTTTTTTTTCCATGTGCCATGAGTAGGACTGGATATGGAAAAAGGCAGAGAAGGAGGAACGTGGTTGGGTATTAGTAAGAAGGGCAAGTTTGCTGCACTGACCAATTATCTTCAACCTGTAATCAGTCTGAACGCACAGGGGAGAGGTAAGAAAGATTTTCAACTTAAGTCTATTATAATAGAAACAAGAATCTCTTATTTCTTTATGTAATATCCCATTGTTATTTGAATGCATCATTCTATTTTCATTATCGAAAAACAAAATGAAACAAATGGGTTTGCCTTAATGTTAATGCAAACCAATATCTATATTCCTCTCGTATAAGATTTTCTATTCTGTGAAGCTTGAGCAGCTAATCAGTAGATGTCTTAGTAGATGTCTTGAAAAAGTATGAATAAGGAAATGTGAAACCAGAATGTTTTCAGCAGTAGATTTGTTCAAGCCAATTTTTCCTGTTAGATGTGTCTATTTTCTCCCCTAGTGTAAACCACAGGAAATCTGGTCAAACAGTTGAAACCTCTGGTGTACGTCTTTTACACAGCCATGGGCATTTGGTGATGTCAGGATTGGGATTGGTTTCATTTTATATTATTCAGTATCCTGCTCATGGTCATTGTTGCAATCACATTGAGAATATAGTTTTGGGGTGGAGTGTTCATGACCTTGCAAAAGTACCCATCAAGAATCAACACATTAAGATGATGACAGGAGAGAAGAAATTATAATTGAGTAAAAGCTACAGAAGAATTTAAGGGAGCTCAAGGTTACTCATTGTTAAAATAGTTGCCACCACTTAAATTCCCCTTTAAATTGAACACTTATTTAAATTGGGCAAACATTGCATATAAACTTAAACTGATATACAGGAAAGAAATGACTGATCTAACCAGTCTCTTCCAGCAAATGTTGTTATTTATGGGAACAAATACAGAAGTTGCTCATTTCATTCACAGTTGTGTGACCTCCCAGGTGAGGTGAAATTTCAGATAAAAACCGAGTTCAATTCTTTAACAGAGATAGTAGGAACTGCAGATGCTGGAAAATCTGAGATAACAAGGTGTAGAGCTGGATGAACACAGCAGGCCAAGCAGCATCATAGAAGCAGGAAAGCTGACGTTTCGGGCCTAGACCCTCCTTCAGAAATGGGGGAGGGGAAGGGGGTTCTGAAATAAATAGGGAGAGAGGGGGAGGCGAATAGAAGATGGATAGAGGAGAAGATAGGTGGAGAAGAAACAGACAGGTCAGAGAGGCGGGGATGGAGCCAGTAAAGGTGAGTATAGGTGGGGAGGTAGGGAGGAGATAGGTCAGTCCAGGGAGGATGGACAGGTCAAGGGGGCGGGATGAGGTTAGTAGGTAGGAAATGGGGGTGCAACTTGAGGTGGGAGGAGGGGATAGGTGGGAGGAAGAACTCCGCTTGGTTTCCCCGATGTAGAGGAGGCCCTCGACTGTGTCTCCCGCATTTCCCGCAACTCATCCCTCACACCCCGTCCCCAAAATAACAACCAAAACAGAATCCCCCTCGTCCTCACAGACCACCCCACCAACCTCCGGATCCAACGCATCATCCTCCGACACCTCCGCCATCTGCAATCCGACCCCACCACGAAAGACATATTTCCCTCCCCACCCTTATCTGCTTTCCAGAGGGACCACTCTCTCCGTGACTCCCTTGTCCGCTCCACACACCCCTCCAGCCCCACCACACCCGGCACGTTTCCCTGCAACTGCAGGAAGTGCTACACCTGCCTCCACACCTCCTCCCTCGCCCCCATCCCAGGCCCCAAGAAGACTTTCCACATCAAGCAGATGTTCACCTGCACATCTGCTAATGTGGTATACTGCATCCGCTGTACCCGTTGTGGCCTCCTCTACATCAGACAAACCAAGCGGAGGCTCGGGGACCGCTTTGCAGAACACCTACGCTCGGTTCGCAATAAACAACTGCACCTCCCAGTCACCAACCACTTCAACTCCCCCTCCCATTCCTCAGACGACATGTCCATCCTGGGCCTCCTGCAGTGCCACAACAATGCCACCCGAAGGTTGCAGGAACAGCAACTCATATTCCACTTGGGAACCCTGCAGCCCAATGGTATCAATGTGGACTTCACAAGCTTCAAAATCTCCCCTCCCCCTACCGCATCCCAAAACCAGCCCAGCTCATCCCCGCCTCCCTAACCTGTTCTTCCTCCCACCTATCCCCTCCTCCCACCTCAAGTCGCACCCCCATTTCCTACCTACTAACCTCATCCCGCCCCCTTGACCTGTCCGTCCTCCCTGGACTGACCTATCTCCTCCCTACCTCCCCACCTACACTCACCTTTTACTGGCTCCATCCCCGCCTCTTTGACCTGTCTGTTTCCTCTC